TAATAGAGTGTGCCGATACTGGGGACACAAAATGACTAAGAATGGTCGGTCTCTGGCCTCTAGAGGCAATGTCCGACACACACACAGAGAATGTCAGCGCCACAGACTGAATATTCGTGTCCCTCCAGAAATCGCATGCTGAAACCTAACGCCCACGGTGATGATGGTATTAGGAGGTGGGGACTTTGGGAGGTGATTAGGTCACGGGGGCAGAGCCCTCCCGAATGGGGTTGGTGCCCTTCTAAAAGGGTCCCCAGAGAGCTGTCTTGCTCCCTCCACCCTGTGAGGACGCGGCGAGAAGGTGCCATCTGCTCAGCAGACACCTGGCACCTAGATCTGGGACTTCCGGCCTCCAGAGCTGTGAGGAATGGCTGTTTGCTGGTTCCAAGCTGCCCGGTCGGCGGTACTTTGTTACAGCCGTCTACGCTGACCAGGACAGTCGATACATTACACATACGTTCCCTTCCTCCCCTTTCTCTGCTGCGGGGGCTCTGTGGAGACACGGGGGTGGTCACAGGCTGGTCGTGACCACCACATCCTGGTGTCCACGAAGCTAAGGGTGGACACCAGGACCCTGCTGTGCCGGGGAAGATGGCACAGGGGAGAGGCGGCCTCCGCCTCGTTCCCAAACGACGACAGCAACGACGGCGTGACGGGAATGAAGCTACCGCTCATCAATGCTAACGAGGTGCCAGGCTAAGCAATTTGTACGATTAACTCACTTCGTTCTTGCAAAAACCCTAGGAGGTAGATGCTGTTATTCTTTCCATTTTTCAGACATGAACAGTGAGGTACAGAAAAATTAAACACACCCAGGTCACACGGGTGGCGAATAGCAGGAGCGAGGGGCACGCCACTCGTTGGGATAATCCAGTTCACGTCCAGAACCTCGCTGCGAGGAAGTCTGGGAAGAAAAGCGTGGTTTCTGGTGTTCCCGACTCTGCGGGAACAGGGCACACCAGAAGGAGTTAGGGTGGCCGTGGTGTGGCCACATCCATGCCTGCGGGGCAGCTGCCGATCCAGGGCTCTCCAGGGCACAGTTGCCACGGCAACAGCGACCCGTCATTCAAAGCATCTATTCGTCATCTGTCGCCCTCGGAAACTCGTCAGAGCAAGACACATGACTCCCAGACGGTATCCGACATATCTTCCTGTCCGAACAAGCCTGAAATTCATCCGTTGTCCGTGTCTATTTGATGGATACCAAATTATAAAACCTTAAGTTAGGTGTTTCAAATTTACTCATTTTTGGAAAAATAGCGTTTTCTCTAAAACACAAGCAAACCAACACGGAGTAATAATTACATGCCGATTAGATGTCAACAGTTCTCCCATTTTTCAGGGCCAAGTTCAAACGTCACCGCTTTTGTGAAGATTTCCCTTCCAGTTTCGAATACATACTTCTGTTTATTAACTGGATTCTCTTCTGGAAACTGTTTATGTCTGTGTTGGTTTGCTAGGGCGGCCGTACTAGAGTAC